AGAGGAAGGAGGAGGGAGGAGGATGAGGAGGATGAGAACAAGGGGACAAAGAATCGCTTGCGGGTGTGCCATGTGGTACGTGACAGGAGAAGAGAACAAAGGAGGTGAGGAGGGACGAGGACGAGGGGAGATGAGGAGGGACGAGGAGGGAGGAAGAGAGGATGAGGACAAGAACAAGGTGGAAGGAAAACTTGTGTGATGGTTGGCCACGTGGGACGTGATGGGAGGAGAGAGGGAAGGAGCAAACAGGAGGAAGGAGGAGGAGGAGGGAGGGGGAAGAGTGAGGGGGGAGGAGTAGGACGGAGGGACAAGAGGATGTGTACAAGTTGAAAAAACATCATGTGCGGGTTCGCCAAGAGGCACGCGACAGGAGAGGAGGAAGGGGGCGGGAGGACGAGGAAGGAGGACGGGGGAGGACGCGGGGAGATGGGGAGGAAAGAGGAGGAAGGAGAAGAACAAGGTGGAAGGAAAAACTTGCATGATGGTTGGGCACGTGGGATGTGACGGGAGGAGAGGGAAGGAGCAAACAGGAGAAAGGAGGAAGGAGGAAGGAGGGGGAAGAGGGAGGAGGGAGGAGTAGGACCGAGGGACATAGGACGGAGGGACAAAAGGATGTGTACAAGCTGAAAAAACGTCACGTGCGGGTTTGCCAAGTGGCACGTGACAGGAGAGGAGGAAGGGGTGGGAGGAAGAGGAAGGAGGAAGGGGGAGGATGCAGGGAGATGGTCAGGAAAGAGGAGGAAGGAGAATGAGAAAATTAATAACACGATAAAATACAGATCGCGTGCTGGTGTGGCATGTGGCGCGCAACAAGAGGAGGGAGGAGGAAGGAAGATGGGGGAAACGAGAAGAAAAAAGGAAGAGGACGACGACGAGACAGGAGGTTGACGTGGAGTTTGAGATCACAAAAAATATTGCATGTCGGTATTGCACGTTGAACACAACGGGATGAGAGAGGAGGGAGGAGGAGAAGTTGAAGTTGGAGGAAGGAGGAGGGAGGAGGGCAAGGGGAGAGGAGGAGGAAGGAAGAGGAGGCGGAGGGAGAAGATGAGTGTGAGAACAAGACAAAAAAATCGGGTGCCGGTGTATCACGTGGCATGCAACAAGAGAAGGTTGGAGGAGGTGGAGGAAGAGGAAGGAGGGAGGATGATGCGGGGAGACGAGGTGGAAGAAGGGGGAGAGGATGATGAGGACGAGAACAAGAAAAAAAGAATCACTTGTCAGTGTGCCACGTGGCCAGGCGATTGGAGGAGAAAGTGGGCAGGAGGATGGAGGAGGGAGGAGGATGGGGGGGACGAGGAGGAAAGAGATGACGAGGACCAGAACAAGATGCGAATAAAATGGTGTGCCGGTTTGCCACGTGGTGCACAACGGGAGTAGAGAGGAGGAAGGAGGTAGGAGGAGGATGGGGGAAGACGAGGAGGAATGTGCCAGGTGGCAACATGGCAGGAGGAGAAAGTAGGAAGAAGAGAGGAGGACTAGGTGAGACAAGGAGGATGAGGAGGGATGAGGACTAGGGGAGACGAGGATGATGGAGGAGGAATAGGGTGAGGGAAGAGGATGACAAGGAGGAAACAAACGAACAGCAGCAGAGGAGGGAGAAGGACGATCACAAAAATCACAAGAAGAAAAGAAATTATGTGCCACACTGCCACGTGGTGCGGGACTGTGGAGAGAGGAGGGAGGAGTATAACAGGTTGAGTGAGTAGAATTTCGACATTTGCATGACTGAAAGCACCACCTTCTCCGATGCTATTTGTCAAGCTGACTTTTGCTGTAGCCTGTGTGTGTGTGTGTGTGTGTGTGTGTGTGTGTGTGTGTGTGAGAGAGAGAGAGAGAGAGAGAGGATAAACATAAAAAAAAAACCGGAGGGAACCTGTGTGTGTAGAGGGAACGTGGACTGGCTAGGCAAGATACTTTCGGACTGATGAACTACGGCACGTTGAAAGAAAACAAACACACACAAAAAAAAATAAAAATAAAAAAAAATAATAAATGCTCTGAATGCAGGAGCTGAAACCGGAACCCATAACTTTCTTCTGTAGGGCACAATACTACGCAAGACTGTAAGTTTGGTCAAGGATCTCCCATCAGTATATTGTGTTCAGTCTGTTGGGTGCCGTGGTAACTGCTTATGAACTCCACGAGCCCCTATAGAATGGAATTGAAATCCTTGGGTTTGGCTTAGCTTGACCCCTTTGTGATAGTCGTACCTCCCTGAACCCACCTCAATAATACCTCCCTCTCCACTGGGAACCCCCCCGGAAAAAAAATCGTGCTTTCAAAGTTTTAATGCGGATTTCGACAGATCTCAAATAGCACAGTCGGAATCCGCAGGAGAAAAAAGGAAAAGAGAAAAAAAAAGAAGAAAAAAAGAAGAAAAAAGCTATGTTGGGTCGTCGCCCGGCCAGGCACGCCCGGGCCAGTTGGGAAGGGGGGGGTTCGCCTGGCAAAACCAGACGGGTAAAAAAAGAGGCAGGGATCCCCCCCCAAAAAAAAGAGACTTCAGGCCAGGACTGTGCTTGGCCCAAGCAGTCAGAATCCGGTCTTAACTTAGGTTCTGGTGATGGGTCATCCAGGGGGGGTTGGGGGGTATGAACAGTGACTAAAGGGCTTTAAAAGGGCACATTTGGAGTCTTTTGGGACTTGTGTTTTCTCATTTATTTTTTATCTTGAAATTAACAAGGAATTTCGAGGTGGCCCTCGGCCAAAAGTCGTTTGTATTGCAATTTTACACAAAAAAAAATAATTTGGATTTTTCACATTTTTTCTATTTTTTTAAATATTATGCGCTGGGATCGCCCGGGAGGGTACCCAGGTGACCTTCCCCCAGCCGGGCCACCCGGGGACTAACACAGGAAAAAAGGACGTTATTTTTTGAAAACCGGTTTTCCAGTTTGCCCCCCCTGGTCCGGTCTGGCCCTGGTTGAACCGGGTGAGCTGAACCGGCGGTCGCCGCCCCAGCCTTGCTGGTAGGGTATAAGTCGACCAGGTGGGATATCATTTGCTGGCTCCTGGGAGCAGCATCAGCTCAGTGTGAAACGTTACGTGACACAAGGTATGTGTCTAGCGGCAGTTGTCCATTTCTAAGAGTGGGATATTAGATCTGGAGAGAACTGTGTCTGAGCAGATTTATCTGCAACCCGGACTATGCAAACCAAAGAGGGCATGTTTGCAAAATGCATCAAGGAGGTGTGCATTGCGTCTGGTCGACATAAAAAGACATGTCGGCTCCTATTGCCGATGGCTGTGGCTTGCTGCTGGCAGTTGAATATATTAGTATGCCCTGCTGTTGCCATCATGAAGGTTCCTTTTATCCCTCTCTTTTTCTGGTCATCTGGTGATGGAACAAGCTCCCACCCTTGTTCCTCATTTACCTGAGCAAGTGAGTCGGATATGAGTGGCTATATGTAAAAGGGTACATGGGTAACATCAATATGATATAACAGCCCTCTTATGCCCTCTGTCCCTGGTGGTGTCTGCCTGGACATTCCTTCTTTACCATCCTTTTTTTTTGTATGTCTGGTGATGGGAACAGAGATCCCTCTTACCACTTTCTCTCATCATGTCCTTTGTCTCTTTTCTTTTCGCTATTTTGACTTCCGGGAGACTCGTTGTGCCTTACTAAAGCTTCTAAACTGCCCGTCGCCATCACCAACCCCAAGGATAAGGGTGTCATCCACATGATGGTACCTGTCTCCTTCTGTGGTTTGGGCACGCTCCATGCTGCGTGTGTCGATATCACTGCACTAGTTGAGGGCAAAAAGCGAGCGACCTGATGATACAGCACTCTGTCCTTTGCACTGCTGTATATGTGCTTCTTGTGGTGCTCGGTTGCATAATGCATTTGTAGGCACCCAGGCTAACCTCTTAGTGCTTGAGAGTAGGGGCATGTGCTTCGTACATGCAATGGAGATGCCCATATGTGCTTCTTTTCCAGATTCCTATGTGCTCAGTTTCCTGGACAGTGCTGAAAGGTGGGTAATTCCTGAGTCGTGCGGAGTGCTCTCTTTTATGTTTTCTTCAATAAAAGGGCAACGGCCTTGAGATATTATCATTTGAACTGAGCTGCCTGAGGTAATTCAAATTTGCAGTATTTTACCCATCTGCTTCATCTGTGTCAAGTAGAGTTCGAAATAAGGTCTATATTTCGACAGTTCAGGGGTGTACCAACTGAGCTAGGCCAGTTGGTAACACAGAGTGGTCTTATTTGGCATGGAGCGGGCCATACTCGCGAATACCACTCAATGGCGCTCAGCTGTTGAATGCAGGTCGAGGCAATGAAAAACACTTTAGGAAGTGGCATATAGTCGGTCACTAATGATGTAGGTGTTGGTTAGTTCATTTAATGGGCAGGGCTGTCATTGTAGCTCACTCAGTCAAAGTGCGTTTGTGCACATTGAATGGTTGGTTATGCAGCTTCCTTGCAGGTGTGCTGGGTTCAAAAGACTATTCCGTGATCAACACTGCACTGCAGATTGCTGAGATGCTCATGCAAAAGCTGCCAGAGATCTTCAGCAAGCAGTTCCTTAAAGAGGGTGTTGTACATGCGTTGGATGTGCTGATTGGATCTGATCAGCCTGTCTGTTCTGCGTCACTAGGCGGAGCTCCTGCTGCTGTTACCGAGCAAGTAACTGCAGCTCCACTGCCTCGTCCACGGCGTGGGGGCCGTGGGAGCCGTCGAGGTTTGTTGAACGGGGAGGCAACTCCTGAAGAGCCTGCTCCATCACTGTTGCCAATTGGATCACCGCCGCCACCTGTAGCAGGTGGAGAGGCTATCTTACGAGGTGCACGATCCGGGCTGCGCTGTGCTGTCCTAGCTAGGGCAAAGAAACTGAAAGAAACCCATTTTACAAAGGAAGCTGGACTGGCCGATGCTGGTTTGACACACAGCCTCTGCAAGCTAAAGGAGCTCTGTGCCAGGATAACTGGGGAGACGGTAGTAGATCAGAAGGTAAGGGGAAAGGGCAAAGGTAAGGCTCCTATCAATGGGCTGTCGGCACCGAGAAATGACGAGGCGGACTTGGCAACAGCGAAGGAGATTTTGGGTGTGCTGAATGAAGGGGAGGGGGTATCAACGTTTGAGTTTGTAGGCAGTGGGGTTGTCGGTGCACTGCTGAAGTTCATTACATGTGGCGGTCCAGGCCATGATGATTTGGATGAAGCCAGCCGCAGTCATAGAAGGGAGAGGATGGTTGAGAGACTGAAGCAGTTTGTGGCCATCGCCCTGCCAACGGCATGTAACTCCAGTGGGAAAGAACAGAAAGAGGTACCTATGGCAATTCTTGTGAAAAAGTTACAATGTGCGTTGTCATCACTAGAGCGCTTTCCTGTGTTGGTAAGCCACACTCCAAGGTCAAGTGCAGGAGGGGGAGGGAGCGTCACAGCAGGGCTGAATGCCTTGACTCAGCCTTTCAAACTACGTCTCTGCCGTGCATCTCATGATAAAGTACTGCGGGATTACTCTAGCAACATTGTCTTGATTGAGCCTCTGGCAACGCTTGCTGCTGTTGAAGATTTTCTGTGGCAGAGAGTCAAAAGGCACGAAACTGGGAGTGGGAGTGGTATCCATCCTCCAGCTGCAGCAGCGGCTTCCTCGGGGGTTACTGCTTCTGGTGCGGGACTAGGTGCCACCACACCACCACCTGCAGTCCCTTCGTCCGTCACTTCTGGTCCAGGAGGGATGCCTCCTGCTTTGACTCCCCTCCGTCCAGCGACCAGATCAAGGGCGGTTTCTGCTGCTGCAGCTGCGGCTGCTTCTGCGGGAGAGGGTGCGAAAGTCTCTGGGGATGGGAATGGTGGGTCCTCAAGTGGGGTCGCAGCCACAGGCAATGACCGAGGAGGCAGGGGAAAAGACAAGGTGGTTGCACAGCCGTCTGGGCCAGAAACACGAGGGGCAAGACGGCGAGCTGAACTGGCAGCCAGAAAGGGTGAAGCCGATAGTGATGTTCCCATGGAGAGCGAGGTAATGCTGTAAACTCTTGTAGGAACTGAATACGCTGCATCCGTCATTTTGTCATGCCTCTTTCCCTCGACCCCCCTGTCTCCTTCCTCCCAACTTCCTTGCTGCTCGTTCCCAGTATCATGCATACTGCCTTGTCATCTCCTCCCACATCAGCCCTTGTGCTACCCATATCTCAAGGGAAATCGCACTACCATTTCCGGTGATCGCTCCCATCTGAGCACTCGGGTTATATACAGCTACTCGGAATTGAACTCGATCCGTCTTATTAGAAAGTACAAGGTTGTGAGCGAACTGCGTGGCATGAGCAGGTGGCTGATTGGTATGGGCACAACTTTTGGACAATGAAGCGGTCTCGTCCATTTGTTTTGCCATGGGGATGTATTTTGGATTGTCATAACATTTCTCTTGGAAATTGGGGTTTAAAGGCATGAGCCATTGGGGCCATGCAGATGCCATGCAACCTACCTATGGATGATTGCAGGCGCATGTTTAACTGGAGATAATTTGGTGGGAGCATAATTTTTTAGTGGTAACATGCGTACTGGGGAAAGTGGGTCGTCCGAAGCCATTAGCCAGTGGGGCCACAGAGGTGCCTTGCAACTTTTCTTTGAGTCAGAGATGGTACATGTTTTTTTTAAGCAACCATCGTTTTTCGGTGGCCTGTAGTCCTAAAACACTATGTCCAGCTTCTGGTTGGCCATGAATTGGGCTACCCTGGACAGCATGCCTAAGAACGCTGTCAAGCTGTGTGAATGAATATATTGTCTAAGAATTGTGGTAATATTATATGATGCTTTGTTGTTTTAGGAACGCGATGTGCATCTTATTCCTCGAAGGATGACTGCTGGGACACAGACATTCTTGAATTAAATATGATGATATGATTATGGGATTCGATCATCAACAGAATCCGCACTTGACAATGACGATGGTGGCATGTTCCAGTGTGGCAAGACTGAGACTCGAATCATGAGTCGAATGCCTTTTATTGAGAGAAAAGGCAGATGTTGGTGGTCATGTTGTTTGTGGCATTTATTCCTGTGCAGAATGGAGCAGTTTTTATGTTTTCTAGTTTCTCGTTGTGTGTATGGTTACTAAACGCATTGGTGAAAAACGCGTTAGCAATACAGCTAAGTTCGTGTATATGAATGTTGTGGTGTGCAGGAGGAGGCAGAGATGCCATCTACAGATTATACAGAGGCTGTTGCAATGGATGAAGATGAACCATCGGAGGATGAGGTTGAGGATGATGATGAGGATGACGACCAGGATGACGAGAATGATGAGGTACAGAACCCCACTGTCCAGCTGGTTCCCTTAGAACCTTGTGATGTCTCTGATTTGGGCCAACCTGGAATGTGTAGGTATTTTGGGGAAGCAGGACAAAAAGGTGTGGGAAGATATATTCTGGATTAGTCCCTGATTTGACTGAGGGTTCTCCCGTCCTACAGCTTTTGAGTGTAGGACTCTGAAATTAAACTACCGTTACCTCTGAGCCTCTGTATCCCGATGCAAATCTGCACTGCACGCCAATGAAAAACAAACTGCCAGCCGCATACTTCTTTCCTTTCTTGGCGGGCGCCACCAGCCATTTCTGTCCCGCAGCTTTGTTCGTCCGTAAAAAAAAACAGATGGACTCAGTTTCGATTCTCAAGTTTGCCTGGGCAGCAGTTTTGCATACCCCAACTGTCGGTGCCCCTTGACTAGTCGGCTACCAACCAGTCCAGTGGTCGGCCCCTACTGGCTGTGGTTCGTCGGCACCCTGCAAAAAAAATATATCTACAGAGGATTGTAATTAAGGAGGCTTTACCATTGCTGTCCTACAAGTAGCAATGAGGGACCGTCAACTTGAACTACACAATGCTTGAGCAGGTGAGTGGTTTAATCCTCCATCCCACATCTCTGCCTGATTTCTACAAAATGATGCTGTTTTCTTGCCACAACAAACCGTCCGCATTCTCTTTTATGTCAAAGATCATTCCTCTGGCCCCGTGCGGCTGCAAGGCAATGTGCCAACACTCTGCGACCTTCTCCTTTGCACAGCCACAAACAGTGTTACACTCGGCTGTAGCCGCCCTTGTCTCTGTCACAATCACTACAATGACATGGTTTCTGCATCCATGTTTGCAGAGGACTGTCCCTCCGCTCCTGACTGCAGGCACTCTCTGCATCCGAACACTATATGTCCATTTTGCGGCCATGGGCGCTATACTGAATGCGTGGTCTTTTGTGGTGACCGTTCTTCCTTCATTTTGGCCTGCAATCGATATGCCATTTGTAGGGGGTGTATGGTGGGCATGCTCAATGCCAGCCGTCGTGGCAATTGTTGCACTGAGAATGCTCAGCTAGGTCTTCCATGTGTTCATCCACCTCGTCCTTGCAATGTATGTCCTCAATGTCGTCAAGGACAGACTCATTCTTGGGCCTTTTCTTATCCTCTGTTTTGCCTTCATCTTCACTCCACACTCCGCACTTTCCCATACTTTCCCTTCATCATTCTTTGTTCGTCTGCTCGCCATATCTCCTCTGTGTTTATCCCCTCCCCCTTCACTCTGCCTCTTTCTCACAGCTTACAAGTGGGCCGCTATGGGGGCAGCTGAATGGTTTCAGTGTGCCCTTCATGTTTGTCTTGTTTTTCAATTTTTATTTTTGCCGTTTGATTCGCAAAGTGTGCTCTTTTAGTTCATAGCTATGTCAAAAATTGAAAATATATTGGGTCCAGAAACCCCAATAAAACCACCAACACCTCCATACCGGCCCCAAATACCCCCATACACCCCCCCC